CTGTGAAGAGGCATTGGGTACTCCGGTTGCATGTGCTGATATGCTTTTGTTTGCCCATCGCCATGATGGAAGGTACTGTCTTGAGAATACAAAGCAATGTGTGTGTTTTTTGGGCCTTCATAACCTGCGTACCTATGAAACCTACCTTCCGTTTTGACTTGGCAGCATCAAGCATGCCCCCCATCCTGTCCCGTGAGCGGCATATAGGATAAGTAGAGGCGAAAAGGTGGGCATTATGTGGATTCATACCTAATTATGTTGGTTCCTGTATTCGGCTGGGAGAACAGTAGATAGATGACCTGACCCATGGACCTACGTGTGCCCTAGTGCGCCCAACTCTCATTTACGTGTAATTTCCTTTTCCTGGGTGTTACTTGCTCGTCTTGCTATTCCCTATGGTTTACCCATGTATCCACCAAGAGCAACTTCCCTTCTGCCAATCTCTCACTTAAACGGAGGGGAGGGAACGACTTGGACCATTTCAGTTGTGCAGATCCGGTTTATACTCTTGAAACAGGATCTAGTCACATAGCTAGGTATGACATGGCATAACAACTTTCTAACCCAGTCGGAAAGGTACCTGGCGGGGCTGGGTTTTGCTCGTCCTCCTACACAGCAGTATCCTAATCGCCAATCATTGCAGTGCACTATTCTTAATACAACACCAGTGTACTAATCCTAATCCTGGATATGGGGTACTTATCCATATCCTAGGGTCGGGGTTCTAATCCTAATCCTGTGGCCGGGTCCCAATCCTAATCCTGTGGGTGAGGTCCCAATCCTAATCCTACACTAGGGTCCTCATCCTAAACCTGCCCTCAACTTTGTATCCTAATCCTGCCCCTCGTTCCTAATCCTAATTTCTGCCTGACCGGTACCCGAACCCAATCCCTAATCTTTGCACCCCTCTGCCCCAACCCTCCCATTCCGGGTTGGTCAGGGCATCGGTTATCTCCTGCCGTAAAACTGCATGAGCAATGGATCCCACTTGCTTTTGAAGGCGGTTCCAGAAACGGAGGATCTGCTTCACCATGTAATTTTGTAAGGGGAGTTCAGCCAGCTCCGCGTACAACAGCCTGTGGGATGGCCGTGCCGTCCCCACTACCTGCCTCATGAATAAAATCTGCAGCTGGACTGCACTATCCTTCAAACAGGCTTCGAACATGCCCTCCGCAAGGTTTGCTTTATCCCGCCGCCTTCCCGCCCTGTCCACGACCTCTGCCAGCGCAAAAGGGCCCCACGCCTGGCAGCCATACAACAGAATTGCTCGGACTTGGGTTGCAAAACACCGCATTCGCACATCGGGGGCAAACAGCTTCATTTTGTCCAGCTTTGCGCTTAAGGAAAACATAGCGGACCGACCTGTATCACACAACTGCTGACGGCACGCACTAAAAGGCCGTTCTGGCCCATATACCAAGCCCAGATAGCGAGCGCTATCTTTGGCAGGTACTACCTGGCCTGATAGCCGTAACTGTTGACATCTCCCGCTAAGTTCCGACTGCTGGGTGCCGTCACATGCAAAAACAAGCCTTTCACACTTTGAGACATTTGGTCGCATCCCAAAAGCTTCACAAAACAAGTCCACAAGATGTAGCAACTCAGACATTCGCTCTACTGACGTCGCTAGCAGACTAACATCGTCTGCATACAACAGTATGGAGACGCGCTTGCTGTCCACAAGGGGTGCGTCACACTTACGTGCACCAGCTTCTACAAGGTCATGAGTATCAATCAGATCGGCTAGTGTCTCGATGAAAAGTCCAAACAACTCAGTAGATAAAGGACACCATTGCTTCACTCCTTGCTTAGACTCAAACTCTCCCCCCACTTTCTCATTTACC